CGGATGGATGGATGGATGGATAGATGAATGGATGGATGGATGGATAGATGGATGGATAGATGGATGGATAGATGGATAGATAGATGGATAGATGGATGGATAGATGGATAGATAGATGGATAGATGGATGGATAGATGGATGGATGGATAGATGGATGGATGGATGGATAGATGGATGGATGGATGATGTTATAAGAATACCTCCAGTATAAAGGGTCAGTCTGAATCTCTCACAAACACAACGTTGTGTTTTTAAAGCTTCTCTGGAGGAACGTGGAAATAAAAGCTGTCAGCAGCTGAAGAGGATTAATGAAAGAAGACATCTGCTGCTCCCGTCCATCAAACAGGCAGCAGGTTTCTGACCCTCCTCACATCATCCACAGACCTTCATCTGTCTCCATGTGGGAGTTCTGCTCCCAGCTCAGAGCAGGCCTGGGAACAGGGWCTCTCTGAACCTGGACTGTTGTCACCCTGAGGACACTTCTCAGTGTCCCCTCTGGACCCACGAGACAGAGGAGGTGGACCTCAGATCCTTTCAGATCAGCTTTAGTGTTAAATGTTKGATTTTAGCTGAAAACCTGCATGTTTTCATGTTGGTGACAAAATAAATATAATTAAAAATAAAATAAAAATAAAAACAGCAGCAACAAGACCTCCTCCAATCAGAAGCCACCTCTCCCCACAGCAGCTCTCTACTGACACCTGCTGCCAAAACCCATCATCACACCTAAAGAAAACCACTTTAAAGATAATTATGACAAAAAAAATTAATAAAGAACGTCACACTCACCCCTCCCATTGTTATACCATCAATAATAGCGATAAAAGGCTTCCTGTAGGCTCCTTAAACAACAAAATAAAACTGTTATTTTTCACAATGCAACCTGKCAAAGCTGATATCTGAAGGTTTATTGTGAAAATAACTGTAAAGCTCACCTATAGTGTTGTTCAGGATGTATTCCTCTCTAAAAAAGTCCTGAGCCAGAGAACCACCAGCCTTCCCTGCTTCTGTGACGGCTGAGAGAGAAAACAAACGATAAATCGACGCCTCTTTAAGAATCCTTCAGATTAAAATAAAAACTTTTGTTTTTTTTACCTCTGATGTCTCCACCCGCACAAAAAGCTTTTCCTCCCGTTCCTTTAATTATCACAATGTCCGTCTCGTCGTCCTTCTCCCATTTCTGGACACAAACAAAAGTAAATAAAAAGACAGTAAAACACTAAAATAACTTAATTTGTTTTTATTAATCATAACTTTGATGATTTATARAAACAAGAAGCTGGTTTTACCTTCAGCTGAGGGTAGATTTGTCGGATCATGGTCAGGTTGAGGGCGTTGAGGACTTTGGGTCTGTTCATGGTRATCACGCCGGCTCCGCCCACTTTCTCCAGGAGCACCTCTGGTTCAGCGACACTCAACATCTGAGGCAAAACGTATTTGGGATTATTTTTTAACTCTCCACCTTRGAAGCTTCACGCTATTTAAATCTAGCTTTGTTTTCAAGAACGGCAGATAAAAAAACTGAATTTTTATTGGTTCAGAGTGATGTCATCAGAGATTTCCTCAAGCTTCRTCAAACAWTATAKGAAGGGATTTCCTGGCTGCTGAGAAAAGYATCTCTACTGTGAGGCACGGTGGTGGAAGCATGGTGGTGTGGGGATGTTTTCCTTCAACGGGATCTGGGAAACTTTTCAGAGTTAAAGGAAAATGTCTCAGATGCGAGACCGGACAGAGGTCCACCTTCGCTGATTTAAGAACTAATTAATGGTCCTGTAAACCTCAGCCATCAACATGAAACCACCTTGTATTTAAGGTGACGTCACTGACGTTCTCACCATGTGACCCTGGATCCTCTGCAGTCTGTGAAGAGGCTTCAGCCTGAAAGAAACAACAATGTTAGAACATAAACTGCTTTTAACAATTAATGTGTTTTTAACAATTAACAYGAGCTCACACTTTATTTAACTTTGTTATAGATTCTGGGAATGTGAGTGTAGGATGTTTTAAAATAAACACTACAAGTTAACTTGTTGGAGGCAAAACGCACTGGGATCTATTTAACCTCTCGGAGGAACACTTCTACTCTTATTAAAAGATAAACTTCCTTTAAATAGTCATAATGTTGTAACAGGTCAGTGTATTAAAACACTATCATCCCGTTTAGTTAAGCTGCTCCTCTGGCTCACGTGTCCTTAAATAAAAGTAACGTTTCGGGTGTTTTTAGGTAAAAATGTCTGCCGCTAAGCTCTCAGCCGGTCCGGCCTCTCGCTTCACTTCTCCGGCCGTCTTCACTAAAAACACAAACATACCTGTTAACAGACGCCAAAACCGTTATGGACATATTTATTTTCCTCTGATTTGTACCGYGGGGTCAGATGCTGCGCTTTGACGCCGCTGTTTGTTTACTTCCGGGATGAGGACCAACGCTTGACGCTGATTGGTTGGTTGACAGGCGAAATTGGGAAACACCGCCCCCTACTGGATTTTAAATGGAATGCAGGTGGCTGGACATAAATAAAGGAAAACACCATAAAATTATGGCATTTTGTGCTTTTTATGTCGTGTTTTATTCGTCACATCATATAACAATATTTAAAAATGTAATTAAAATTTAACATTAAAATATTACACTCAGTAGTTATTTTCTTTATGAACTTATCATTATTAAAAGTTTCAAGACAAACTGTTCATTTTTTAATAAACGTGTTAATATAGGACAAAATAATATGCATTGTCACAATAAATCATATATTCTCTCCTAAAATTGCTGTAAGATTTTACACTTGACAATAAAAACATAATAAAATAAATAAAAAGGTTGTGGGGATAATTATGTCATGATTCTGCAAATTGAAATACAGAAATGTTTCATGTCAGAATGTTAKCACTTCTGCCATCATTTAGATAATGTATTCTTCTATGTACAGTGTCTTAGAATGTGATATATTATCTACTACTTACAGATAATAAAAACATGTGAAACTAAATTTGTCTCCAGCTGTCAGTTTTTTATTATTTTGTTTAATTATAAAGTAATTATCTTATAATACTCCGAATTATTTAATAAAAATACTAAATGCAGGACCTCAGTTTGTGCATTTAAACACTCTTCCTAAGACATCATGATGTATTTTGATTTCGGATGATAAATGATTTCCTGACACGATGACAAAATGCTGACGCTGGCAGTGAACTTGTGTAAAAGGGTGTGCATTAAACGGTGATTCAGTGCACAAGCTCTCAAAATAAGATAAGAGGCAGGGCACCGCCCTGATTGGGGTGTGCTCACCTGACCATAAAAGAACACAAAAAGTAAGAAAAACACAAACAACAAACAGCTTTTATTCAAACTGATCATGCGTAGAATCCAGGTTGTTCCAGTTTAGACTCAAACACGTCTGTTTGCACATGAAGGATTTATTAAATGAGCTGAGTAACGGTTGGTGTAAATCCTGACGGGACGCTGCAGGAGCTGCAGGGTTCCAGTAGATCCAAGGATTTTTTTCATTTAGTCTGAATCGCTGCTGCTGGAACTGCTGGACGACTAAAAACACACAAAGAACAAAAAATAACTTTAAACAAGTAAATTTATGAAGAATAGATGATAAAAAGAGTCTCTTAAATTAAACTGAGTGTCTCACTTTGCTTCACTGCACCTGGTTTAAATGAAATATAAATCTAATGTAGGACAGAATAGTCTCACCCCATGGCTGTCCTTTCCCTTCTTGTGACAGTGGTCGTGCTTGTGTTTGTCCTTTTTCTTGTCCTTCTTCTTGTCCTTCTTCTTGTCCTTGTGTCCATGTCCATGGCATGCACCATGTCCATGCTCATGTCCATGTCCATGCCCATGGTCATGTCCATGTCCATGACCATGGTCATGTCCATGTCCATGCCCATGGTCATGTCCATGTCCATGACCATGGTCATGTCCATGTCCATGCCCATGGTCATGTCCATGTCCATGCCCATGGTCATGTCCATGTCCATGCCCATGATCATGATCATGTCCATGCCCATGGTCATGTCCGTGCCCGTGCCCCTGACCACAGCACGGCCCGTGTCCGTGTCCAGGGTGTCCTGGAACAGGAGGACAGTTTGACATTTGTGGAGGGAAAGCGGGGTTACCTCCTGGATACTGTCCTTAACACAAAGAAGACAAAGACAGGACATTTGTTTGTCACTGCTTCATAAAAAAAAACAGTTAAACATCAAGAATTTAAAGCAGGTCCAGTAAAGTTGTCTCGTCTTACCCTGGTTGTGTCCGTACATTTCAACAAACCAGCTGTTTGCACAAACCTGGATTCAGTGGATCTTGTGACGCAGCTGAAACCTGCCGCTTGTTTTTATACTCTGCTGCACCTTTGACTCCATCGCTGCTTCTGTTGCTTTGTGACCTCAGAGTTTGGTTAATTATTTACAAAAACAATGATCCTCTTCTCCATCGAAACACGCCGTCCTAACGGAGACACAGAGTTGTAAAGTAACTAAGTACAAATACTTCTTCATTGTACTTAAGTAGAATTTTTGAGTATCTGTACTTTACTTGAGTAATTATTTTTCAGCCTACTTTTTACTTCTACTTCTTGCATTTTTACACAGTTATCTGTACTTTCTACTTATTACATTTTTAAAAAAGGTAAGAAGTAGAAAGTTGTTACTTTTATTTCATTACAGCTTGTTGTTAAAAAATATTATCCTCCTGGATAGAGTGAATTTAATTGTGGTTGGATGAGAAGTATAAATATATATTATTCTGATCCTGTATTAGTTTGTACGTAATCCATCACAGCTGCAAATAACACAAATCATGTCCCACTCCAGCAGGATATTGTATGTAGCCTAGTACCAAGATGTCTGTGGTGTATATATATATAC